ATTTACGATATCATTTAATATAGCTTAGTATTTTTTTTTTTGCTAACATAGCAAAAAGTCGATTGAGATGCCATTTTTTTTAAACATACAGAATAACAATTTTAACGTAAGCGACAAATCTCAACTTCCAACATTTTCATGTATTTTTTTTATTTAGATGTATACTTTGCCCGCAATATTCCTTCTTTAAAACTACAAAAACAGTATGAGCATTTTTGATACACAGTGTTATTAGATGTTAGCCAAGTTTAGAAGTGTATGAAACATCTGTTCTGTTTATCGAAGAGAATGCGTTAGTTAGATTTTTTTTTATTAGTTTTTCCTTAATTAGGTTTAATTAATTAGGTTTTTCAGTTGAATAATTATTACCACACATACAATTCAAAACGATGCTTGAGGACTCAGGGAGTATGCGGGCACTATATATATATAGCTAAAGGAGTCGAAAAGACCCACTTCGGCAAGGGTGTCTTAGCCGTGAAGGTTCGAGCAGTTATCTGTAGTTTCTAACGACATTTAACATCAGACTACCGGTTTTTATCAAAAACTAATGGTAATAGTTCTTACAAATTGCAAATGAAGCCGTTCGAAATATTTATTAATCTTTAAATCTGATCGCCCACCGTTTATTATTTTAGGACGCGTTTAATTTTATAGAGACAAATTTTCGGTTCTCTACTGAACCGGTCCAGCCTAAGTACTTATCGACCCATAGTTCTCGCAAGCTCCAAGGCAAGCCTTTGCGAACGGTGCGTCAAAAGCCAAATATTATCTTTCGTGGAAAGGTCTGCTTTCCCTAGAGATATTTAGTATTATGATTCACTTCTATCGCGGTCCATTATGCTAAGTCCAGTAACGAAACAAAATTAATTCGTCGTAGCGCCTTTCTCGACATGTTTAAGGCCTAAATTCATTGACATATAATATATTTAAATAAGTGCGCCAATCTTCATAAGAGTGGAATTGTTCTGAATAATTCACCCTTGATTTCCACTTTATCAGCCGCTGTTTGAGTCTATCACTGCATGGAGATGGATGGTCTACGGAAAAGTGGCCAGTAGTCCCCTCTTCGTGAAGCTTTTCATCATTGAACTGCAAATCGTTCGAAGTGTTGCAGTTTAATGATTTTTTCGTTAGTTTTACCAGCACAAAATTCCTAGAATTGGAGTGTACTAGTCTAACCAAGCACTACTCAACATCTCAGAGTAGTTATCTGAGAAGTTATAATAAATATATATATATATATAAAAGTAATAATTGAATGGACTTAAAATCTCACATGCACAGTAGACATAATAGAACATAAGACTTAGCTGTTCCTAAAGGTAATACTATATTTACCCGACACAGTTGAAAAGAAGCAGGCAGCTACCGAGAGAATACTCTCTCTACTTTCCAATAAATAAAATACATTTAAAAAAATATTTAACAATAAAGCAGGATTCGCGTCGGTCTTTTACAATTATTTGCTCAGAAATATCGCGCTTGCTTTAGCATCTAGTTGGTGCTTGACGGCTTCACAAACGGAAACACATCGCAAAATGCGAGTTTTCAGGTATACCTCAGGGATCTCTACTTTGTTTACAATGCTAGCTTTTATCTTGAGCGCTAGCCATTGTTACTTTTCCTTGTTTAGCTGTCGAGGTTTAGATCCTACTTCTCAGGTCGGGAATATAGCAGTATGTTACTAAGGAAGCCGGCTTACTGTTTGTCAATGATAACAGACACAAGGTTTTCGCTTAACTCTGCTTTTGAGATGCAAGTACGAACCGAGCCTGGAATATTTGCATTTGGAGGGGACGCGGACTCGTTCTCAGAGCTAGAAAGCTGCTAAAATCCGGCAAAGATTTCACTGCTATAACGACATATACTAAAAAAGCGCTTGATCGTAAAGATGAATCTAAATAATAGCATAGTACTTTGCTTTTTTTTGCCATCGAGTATTCTAGACAACTCAGCGGTCATATGCAGGAGTTTTGGGAAACCGTGTTGAATTTACGTGCGGCCTATTGATGGATTGCAAGCAATTCCGCTATCAACCAAAGGGAAAGACGAGAAAATATGAAAATAAAGAGTTTGCCTAAGAGATTTAACGAACCACTTTGCATCGGTGACATAGCCTTGGCTGCGAGTTTCGTATCGAAGGCCAAATGCAGTGTGAACTTACTCCAGAAGTATGTTAGTAAAAGTTACTTTTTTAAATGAAATAAACAAACATGAAAGTTCTTTGTTTTTTGGACTTTCCACATAGCGATGCGTTATGAGAAAAATGAGAGTTTCATAGACGTCGCTGCACTGGGTGCTCAGATTTTTTGGATTTTAATAAATAATTCAGTTATGAGTTCAAATCTACATAACGCAACGGAGAGGTCACTATTTTTCGGAACATGCGGAAAAACAAGCGCGGCTGGGACGCAGGACTCCCAAAAGCGAAGTGGAAAATTGCGTTAAGCTCGTAGATTCTCTAGGCCAGGACTTCGATGGGCAAAGAGGTGCGGAAAACAAAAATGCATTTACAGAGAACTCAATCGCTTGTCACTTCAGCAAAACAGTATGGCTATGCGCTATATACTTTTAGCCTAATGTAGACTACGTACGTAATGTACGTTAGGCTATTAGGATATTTTGCACAGGAGGTACACAGAGTCAAACTGCACGGGCATATCAAGCATTAATCCACTTATACAGGTACTGGCTGTTTAATGACGCTGATAAAATGATTCGATCGACGTCGTGTCTGGATAAATAAAGTGGATTTTCTTTTCATGAACAGTATATTATCTAGCTGCCAGACGGTATCAAGTTGTTGAAATTACCGCTCGACGAGCTGTGGACTCGGTACTTGGGAAATTAACATACAGTTTTTACCAGTTGCTAAATCTCGCAAGATTCGCTGTAAAAACTGAGTAGGAATATTATCGCTCAGTTGTAGGACCCAGCCGCTCAGATACGCACAGCCGGTTCCAGCGCTACACTCTGAGGGAAAGGAGCTGTTTTAGTTTTATGATTTCGAATGTACGAGTTCGATTTACGCGCGTAGTGATAAATATAAGGGTGTATAACGTTAATCGTCAACCTCCGTACGGACGCACACCCTGTACTTATCAACGAGTTTTTGCACACAGAATTCGTGCACAAGTACAGAGTGTCAAACGACCTCTAAAGGAGCTTTTGATACGACCGTTAGTAGGCTTTTGCAACCTTGTGACTTGTCCATTATATGCGACCTCGGTGCGAATATAAACGGCATATTCTACTTACATTTCGGTTGTGAAAAGAATACACTTCGCAATTACGGCATTGATATTAATAGCTTCCTATCGGCTTATATTCGGAGATAATACGGCAGGCCTTTCCTGAGTGTTTGAAATTGGCCAGTTATCAAATCTCTTACTTCACTAACAACAAAAAAATGCAGGATCCGAATGAATCCAGGATCGTAAGAACACTTTGATAAGGGTACTTGATGCTTTATTTTCTATTCAGTGGTCGTCATCGCATTCGAGTTCTCATCTTTTCTCACAAATTTTCATATCCAGTATATACGATGTCAGGCAGATACTTATACGAACTTGAAGTTAAAATTATAACTTACGCCACTGGAGCAGATTGGCGTATGTATACATACAAACTATTGAAAAATATATGCATTCATTAATGGTATGGGGAAACTGATTGATAATGGAATTCCAGGGATATCTAGGCGAGGTCTTTTGATGTTAACTTGTTCAATGTTTTGGATACCGAGTGTTTCTATATTCGGTGATAGCTTGAACAGCGTTTTGACGTCACGTAGTTCTGAAAGTGTCAAAAATGTTATTTGTTGTATCGCTTATTTTGTATTGATTTTTGTTCAAGTAAATGTTAATTTAAAAAAGACTATCTAAAGAAAATGGTAGCACATTTCTGGCTACTTTTATATTTGGCTGGTGTTTGGATGTTTAGCAGAAAGACAATTGAGAGTGTTTTGGGTCGGGTCGTCGCCGACGTCCTTTGGATTGAAATAAAGACCGTCCTTACTCCGTATGAGCATTGGGGCTTGGGAACCACATCTCAATGCTTTATTGTATCGTTTCAAATACTCTTTATTGCCCACATAGTTTTAGAACTTTATATCAATTTTAGTTTCGATTGTACTTCTTGAAAACTTGGAACTTGTCTAATCCCTTCACATATCTTACAGATGTTCATCCAATTGCTTGAACACAAAAAGCTCAAGGTCTATATTAGGTTTGTTCATTAAAATTTGTTAGCATGGTCTAATGATTTTATTCATTATTTGAATAAATAGTCATAACGTACACCAACATTCTTTTTCCCATAACTTCTCTGTTTTAGTTTTGATTTAACTGCGTGGCTATTTTCCGCTAAATTAAATTGATTTCTTAAAAAGAGGCAGCTTCCAAATTGGTCACCTGTGACGTCATATTTTCAAGGTTTATTTTTTTTTTTACTTTTTTTAACCTTCTGCCTTCGCAGAGCATTGCCCAAGGTAGTTGAGAAGTATAAACTTTTTAGAGGGTACTCTTTCTTCGCTTCTTGCTTATGTTTTGCACATTTATGCGTGAATATGTTTGTCTGCGAGCTTTTAGTCGCACTTCTTTTATTATGTAGTACCTTCAGGTACTGTTGAATAAGAATTTTGTTCGTTTCATTATGTTTTTGCTAACTTTTGTTAGATTGAAATATATTAATTAATAAAATTAAATAAATAATTAATGAAATATATTAAAAGGTTTCAGTGGATTTATTAATCTTCGTTATTATCATTTTTTTAAAACATTTCGGATTTTTTATCAGAA